TGTGCATGTACATGTTTATGAGTGTACACATGGCTTCCTGTACATGTGGAGGCCAGAGGTCAACATCGGGTGTTTTCTTCCGTTGCTATCTACCTTGGTTTTGTTGAGATAGGGTCTCTCACTGAACCTGCAGCTTCTGAAGCTCTCGAGCTAGTTGGCCAGGCAAGCTACCAGGATCCTCCTGTCTCTACCTCCCCAGTGCTAAGATGAAGGGTGTGCACCACTGTGCCAGCTTTTACATGAGTTCTAGGGAACTGAACTCCGGTCCAAGTGTTTGTGCGGTGAGCACATTCCCAGCTGAGCCGTCTCCCCAGGCCCTATCCCCTTCCTATAGTTACATTGATACCATGGGTAACATGGGGGTTGAGCTTGTTTTGTGAAGTCCTGGGGTCTAACCCAGGCCATGCATGCTGCCTCTGAGTGAGCCGTAAAGCGGGATCTCTTTGGATGTTGTTTGTTTTCATTGCCTCAGACTTGCAAACCTAAGCAGCATTCCTCTGTATTTTAACCCCCTCTAGTTGCTTGATGTTGCTTGATTAGTCTCCAGAGAATTAAGTGCTTTCCCTGGCTGCTGCTCGGGTTATGAATCTGAGTAGCACAGCAACTTGGTTAAGGGGTTTGGAGGGGGGGGGCAACTACTAGAATTGGTATTGGACAGTGACCATTTGCTAATGAGGCGTAGACTCTTCTGGAAACAGTGAAAGGACAAAACTGGAACTAAGGGCCAAACTAGTTGTAAGCCTCATACCCCCTACACCTGCCCCCCACAGTCCCTACGCCACCACCGCCGCCGCGGCCGCCGCCGCCGCCGCCGCCGCCGCCACCACCACCATCCTGCCCCGTGACTGGAAGCAGAAAGCCCCAGAGCTGCCGGCTTGGGCAATGGGCCTGAGGCTGTCATCTGTGATCCACCAGGGGTCTGTGTTACCCTTCCTCTCTGTGCTCTGCTGCATCACTTTCCTGGTCTGTTCATTCACAGAGTAAATTCTCTGGCCTCGGCGTGGTTTCTGAGGAAAGGAATTTGATTGGTTTAGTCATGCATAGGTGGCTATTGATTGGTCCAGTTGGGGGGAGAGAGTTCACAGCAACCTCGCCTCTGCCATACTGAAGCTCTAAGTTTCCCCATCCGCCTTTAGTTTTTATTTTTTAATATTGCGGTAGTGAGGATAAATCCCGGAGCCCTAGGTATGCTTGGCAAGGCATTCAGCCACTGATCTGCCCTCAACACCGGCATTTCTTCAAGTCTACAGTTCCCCTTTCCAGCCCTTACAGTGGCATGCCCACATGACTCTTCTTGTATGCTACAGATCCGCTTTTTGTGTTGTTTGTTTTTGAGACAGGCCTACATTGGCCTCACCCTTGATTTTGCTATGTAGCTAAGATGACTTTGAACTTCTGAGCCTTCTACCTCTACCTTCCAAGTGTTAAGTGGTGTGACCAAGCCCAGTGTATGCAAAAAGTGTTAGGGAGTGAACCCATAATTTTGTGTGTGCAAGGCATGCCCTGTCCCCAGCTCCTGGTTATGCAGTTCTAGGCCCTTAAGATATACCTTATATGCTGGGTACAGGCTAAGTAGCACATTGTTTTCTATGTATCAAATCCTGGGGTATCTAATACCAGGGCCAGCCATTTCTGTTGTCTTTTCTGCAAGCTGACTGGACGTCTCAGCAGTGAGCTAGCGGCTGAGGGGAGGGTGCAATGTTTGAGGAGATTGCTAATGCGCAAGGATAGTTTTCAACAAGAAACCGAGTGACATAAAAATCAAGAGAAGTATACCTTTAGAACCAAAGAGTTTATATATAGGAAGTTAGAAAAAGATATCAGCCTTTTCATCTCTATTTTTATATTTACTTACTACTGTGATGACCCTGAACAAGAAATAGAGATTTGATGTTTCATTTTCTTCAAGGATTATTGCCTATTGCAATGGAAAATACCAACTCATCACATGCAACATGCCAGCCACAGGCTGTTAGAATGGCCACAGCAGAGGCGATAAATGCAGCTGCATCGCTTAAAGGAATATTGGTTTTTGCTATTTTGCTAGGCTAAATGAGTCTCTCCTCTCCACCTCCCCACCTCGCTGGTTAGAACACATCTAGCATGCGATTCCGCTTGGCATAACTCGGAAGTTCTGCCATTAGTGACCATAGCCACTTCTCTAAGTCTTGGTGAGGTAGGTGAGTGAGATTTAGGGTTATTTCCCTGGTTGGATGATTTTCTTGGTCTGATCCCAGACTGGGGGGTGGGGGGGAGACCAGTCATGAAGAGTATCAGTTCCCCATAATAGAAGCCAACTTCATAAAAAGTAAATTGGGAAATAATCTGCTTTGGAAACTTGCGTATGAAAACAAACCTAAAGGGGCAATTTGCCTGTTAATGGCGTTGTTTCTGGCTGGAATCCTCGTTCATAATCTCATTGGCTTGTAATGGCTGAGTTTCATTTGGTTATGCAGGCATCTCTGGAAGGCACATCCCCCGGGGTCACAGGAGGGGAAGAATTTGTGTTTCCTTCTTTGAGAGGGTCCTGTGAAGTGAGGTGTTGTGAAGTGTGGCTGTCTGGGTAATGCAGTGGGAGAGAGACCATGCCATCTTTCTAAGGGTCCTATCACACACAATTGTGCCCTCACTCAAGGATCAGTAGCTACGTTGTGAAAGCAGGGAAGGCAATGTAATTTTCTCTTGATTTTAAAGAGAAGTAAAGAGACACATGAAGTGTCTCTTGATTTAAAAAAAAAAAAAATCATGAAAAGTTTCTAGATATCCCCAGAAGAACACGCAACAGGCGCCGATCACTGGATAGTAAGGTTCCAGCTAGCTGCGCAGATCACACACCCAGGAAGCCTCAGTGCCTTGAGTTATGTGCCTGGTGGACTGGCATTGTTAGGCAGCGTGAAGAGATCAAAAAATGGAACAAGCCAACCAGCCTGGCTCCTGGGGACAGCCTGGACCCCACTGCCACCCCACCAGTTCCTTTGGCGTCTTAGTTAGAGTAAAGGCACCTGTGTGGTCCCTTCTGGATCACTTTGCTTCCCAGAAGGTGCCTGGAGCCATGTGATGCAGGTCAGCATTGGCCAGGGGAGATAGGAAGGTTGAGACACTGTGCCCATTTCTCACAGCTCCCCACATTCTCTAGCTCCTCCTCTCTGCCCTGTGCCCTGTGTTATCTCCAGTCTGTATAGCAGCCACAGTAATCTAGAAAAAAAAAAAAAAAAATCTTTATCCTGCTTTTACCCACATGCCTCTGCTTCTACCACCAATCGTGGATAGCATACTTCCTCCTATTGCCCCACCCCCTTCTCTCTTTGGTTTTTTTCAAGACAGGGTTGTTCTGTGTACCCCTGGCTGTCCTGGGTCACACTCTATAGACCAAGCTGCCCTCAAACTCAGAGATCCAACTGTCTCTGCCTCCCAAGCGCTGGGAGTAAAGGTGTGCACCACCACACCCAGCCTTCTCCCTTCTCTTTAATGCATGTCTCCTTCTGGATTATAAGCACCATGAAGAAGGGAGTCATGTCTGTTTGCTGTAACATTCCAGCCTTAGTCCCAAGCAGAGTGTCTGGAGCATAGTGGAGCTCTCATGGGTATTCACTGAAATATGAATGAATGTACCACACAATTCATATTTATACTTCTATCATAACTCTCTTGGGTTATTAAATCAGGTGCCGTTTGACATCTCTCAGTGCTGACCATCCTTCTGATTTCTGGACAATACTCACTAATAGATTATGAGCATTCGACATACTTACTCCCTAGCACAGCAGTCTAAACAGGTAATTCACAGGGAAATTCAATTAGGCAGTGTGTGGGTGGGGTTATCAGCTGTCTGTGGATTAGCAGGGAAGATAAAAAACAAAGCCAGACAACTTACTAAGGGTCTTCTGCCTCACAACAGAAATATTCAACAGTGCTATTAATATCTCCCTCAGAGCGTTAGCTTATTGAATTTTTAAGCACATTTTTTGTTTGTTTTGTTCATTGTTTTGATTTGCTTGCTTGTTTGTTTGTTTGTTTTGTTTTTCAAGACAGAGATTCTCTGTGTAGACCTAGCTCTTGTGGCATACCCTCCATAGCCCAGGCTGGCCTCAAACTCAGAGATCTGCCTGCCTCTGCCTTCTCAGTGCTCAGATTAAGCCACCATGCCTAGGAAAAATTCCTTTCATTTACTTAATTCGTGTGTGCCTGCATGTGTATCTGTGCATGCACCTTTTGCATGCCTGATACTTGTAGAGGCCAGAAGAGGGAGTCCCCCAGAACTGGAGTTAGAGGTGGTTGTGTGCTGCTGTGTGGTCCTGAGAACTGAACCTGGATCGCTTGGAATAGCAGCCAGTGACTATTACTAACCCTGGAGCCATCTCTCCAGCCCCTGGAATCAGGTCTTTATAGAATACTGTGAAGAACTGATTGTGTCCGGTTTACCCTGGTGTGAGCCCAATATCTACACTGGGCACCTAGACATATATGCAGGCTCAGCTCTTGTGCTTTAATTGTGAGAATCTGGCAAAGGTAACAATTCTCCATCATTCTTTCCATAAATAGGGCAGGCTTATCCCCAACCTACTTGAAATGGCATTTATAGGGTAGATGTCCAGTGACCACAATTCTTTTTGTTTGTTTGTTTGTTTGGGTTTTTTGTTTTGTTTTTATTCGAGCAAGGTTTCTCTGTATAACAGCCCTGCCTGTCCTGGAACTCCCTTTGTAGACCAGACTGGCCTTGAACTAACTGAGATCCACCTGCCTCTGCCTCCTGAGTGCTGGGATTAAAGGCGTGGGCCACCACTCCCCGAAGACCACAATTCTTAATAGGATCATCAAGGACATTTTTTTTTACTCAGGAATTTACACTACTGACTCCTAGCATAATCTTTCTGGTGGTTTTCTTTCTGGTCACAGCTGGTATTGGAAACATCATGGCAATAATAAATACATCAATAATAATAATAATAATAATAATAATAACAACAATAATAACGCTTTCTTTAAAATGTCTCTTGCAGACAAAAAGCCCCAAGCTATCCCACAGTCCTCAACCTCCCAATCTGGGGGATCCGCTCGAGCATTTGTCGGAGACATCTGGTGACTCTTTGGAAGCCATGTCCGAGGGGGAAGTACCAAGTCCTTTCGCTAGAGGAAGTCGGACTCGAGCGAGCCTTCCCGTGGTGAGGTCAACCAACCAAACGAAAGAAAGATCCCTGGGTAAGCTTCAAAAGGCAGTTTCACCTGCCCCTTTCTTGCTGTGTGTACATATTTTTATACTTCTGAACATGTACCCCTGGACTCAGGTATCAGTTTAATCTTACTCTACAAACGCTGACCCTAGAAAACCACTGATTTAACATCGTGTTAACTTTCCATCCCTGACAGTTACCTGAGATAATTGGTGCCTAAGGAAGAAAGGTTTTTTGGGGTTCACTCTTTCAGAACCTTTTTAGTCCAGTAGTCTCAACCTTCCTAATACTGTGACCCTTTAAATACAGTTCCTCATGTTGTGGTGACCACCCCCCCCCCAACCATAAAATTATTTTCATTGCTACTTCATAACTGCATTTTGCTGCTGTTATGAATCATAATGTAAATATCTGATATACAAGATATCTGACATGTGACCCCTGATGGGGTCGTGACCCACAGGTTGAGAACCACTGCGTTCGTCAGTCCATATGTGGCTGGCTCTGTTGCTTTGCTTTGGGGCCTGGGGGAAGGCAGTGATTCCAAAGCTGCTTACCTCGTGGCTGCCAGGAGCAGGAAGGATGCCGGCATTTCCCTGTCTATTGCCTTATTCCTATGAGGAGAATAGACATTATGGTGGAGCATGTGGTAGAACAGAGATATGGCTGGAGCAAAGGAAGGGCCAAGGGTCTCCAGTGATCTTTCTTCTACTTGGCCACACTGTCTCGGGGTGCCATCACCTCCTAGGAATGTTGCAGGTTGGTTTTTAAAAAAAGTCCTTTACCTATAGCCTTTGTGGGGACATTTAAGATCTAAACCAAAATGAACATCAAGTTGGGCGGGTTAGTTTTATGTCAACTTGACAAAAGCTGGAATCACTGGTGAAGAGGAAGTCTCAATTAGGAAAAATGCCTCCATAAAAATCAGACTGTGGGCAAGACCGTGGGGCATGTTTTTAATTAGTGACTGATGTGGGAGGGCTCACACCTCATGGCACATGAGTGGTGCCATCCCTGGGCTGATGGTCCTGGGTTCTATAAGAAAATAAGCTGAGATAATCTTGTAGAGCAAGCCAGTAAGCAGCACCCCTCGGTGGCCTCTGCATCAGCTCCTGCCTCCAGATTCCTGCCCTGTTTGAGTTCCTGTCTTGACGTCCTTCACTGATGAACAGTGGTGTGGATGTGTGAGCCAGACAAACCCTTTCCTTCCCAAGTTGCTTTGGTCATGGTGTTTCATCCCAGCCATAGTAACCCCTAACTAGGACACGGGTGTTATACGTTTGCTGAGGAATCGGCTGAAGTCCAGGCTGTTTCTGGGCTTGGGCACTTTCTGAATTGTCTAGGATTAGCAACATTAAGCTACCACATTGCTACTACTCGCTAGTGTTGCTGGACAAGGGAATACCAAGGAGTATTGCCTTTACCACAGTATATCCGCCCTCCCCCGGCCCTCCGAATTTGGGGTTCACTTTATATCTTCTTTTGCCTTTTTAGTACCTTCCATACCACCTTAACAAAACATACAGGGTATAGGGTTTAGACCTCCTTGCCTGGGGCGCTGGTGTTCCACAAACCTCACTTGCCATGTTAAGGGTTTCACATAATGCTTGTGTTTGCAGTAAGAGGGGACAGAAAACGGATGGATATAAAAGACAACTTAATTCTGCCATGTAAAACCTAGCAAACTGTTGCTAGAAGATTACGGAGAAGATCGGTGTAAACTAACACACGATTTCGTTTCCTTGTTGCAGAGAGCAACCAGAGAAACGGGGTTCACAATGCATTCTAGCTGTTCAAACTAACCTCAGGCAGAACAGAACAAGGCTAGCGTTCCTTGTGTGGCTTCAGACACTACCCTAGCTACCTGAAAAGGCACATTGTACTAAAAGTGCATTATAATAAAAGCATTTAAAAGTGCTTATATTTTCAATACTATTAATATTCTTTTACTTTTACCCAGTCATTCTTATTGTTATTTAATATTGTTATTATTGCTTATGTGTATGTGTGTGTATGGGGCGGGGGATATATGTGTAAGTTCTGGTGCCCACATGCCCTGGCATGCACGAGGAGATCAGAAGATAACTTTCCTGAGCCCATTCTCTCTCTCTCTCTCTCCTTTGTTTGAAAGGCAGGATCTCTCTTATGGTTTCCACTGGGCTGAGTGCTCCGGGCTAGTGTCTGGACAAGCCCTCATCTCTCGGTAGGGGTGCTAGGATGACAGATGTGTGCACAACATGGGGGTTTTAGGTGGGTCCTGAGAGTCACACTCAGGCCATCCAGCTTGCCTGGCAAGGACTTTTCTCTGCCTGCTCAGCCATCTCTCTGGCCCTTTGTTGTTTATTTCAATTGTACGTATATACAAAGTACAGTATGGAGGGTGCTAATCCATGTAAAGGGTACATTATGATCAAGTAAGGACACCTCCCATGTTATCATTTTGTCTCTAATTAAATCTTAAATTAGGATCTGATAATTCTGGGTGCTTTGTGATACGCTGTCCCAAGTACACAATGGGCCCTGATTGCATCAGGGTAATTAATACTTCTGTTGTCTCCACATCACCGTTCTGAGTTTGTTGCTTTCGAGTCCTTTCCTTCTTATTATTCATAAAGCATAATTGTTATTGTGGAATACAGACCGTTGTTTGCGGCTCTCCACTCCAGGCTGGTGAGAGGCCCTGCTGACCTCTCCACTCGTCCTTTCTTAGTGTCTGGCCTGCTGCAGCGAGCACCCTGTATCATATTTCACATTACATTTCCAGCTGCCTGTGATCGTGCACACCGGAAATCCCAGTACTTGGGAGGCTAAGGCAGGAAGATTTTGGGTTGGAGGCCAGTGTGTGTTCCATAGTGAATTTGAGGCCAGTTTGAACCGCACAGCAAGACCCTGCCTCAAAAACCAACCAACCAAACAAACAAAAAAACTTTCCTTTTGTGTTTTTATTTGCATATACTTGTTCTTGTTTTGCAGATAAGACAAGAAGGCCACAGGGAGTTGTGTGTGTGTGTGTGTGTGTGTGTGTGTGTGTGTGTGTGTGTGTGTGTGTCTACGACCTGGCAGTTCAATCACAGAGTCAGGAAGTCCAAACCCCATTACAATAACGTCTCTAGGACTCCCAGAGGCTGGCCTACCACTTGGGAGCACACTGCTTAGGCCAGTGTGAAGATGACAGGGCCTTCCTATTGCCACCAGGCTGCAGCTGCCACCTGCATCAAAGAGCCTTGTGACTTCTTAGCCACCGTCAGTCACCCTTGAGGCAGAAGCCAGGCTGGGAGTGGAATTTCTCCTTTGTGCTTTGAAGGAAATGGTATGGGGGGTGGGGGGAGGCGGCGGTTAGCGTTAGGTCTCTGTGAAGATTGCCCCTGCTTTGCCAAATAAAGTAAAGATAAGAAGCTCCTGTGTGCCTTCCCCCATCCCTGGGAACCTGAGCCTGCTGGATAATGGACCCTTTGTCTTCAAGGGAGGAATTTCCTCTGGCTGCCTCAGCAGCTGGCCTTGCAGGTGGATACCTGCCCAGCACAGGAACCCAGCCTCCGGCAGAGAGAGAAGAGCTAGGAAGCAGTGACAAGAAATTACTGAGGGGACATTTCTGGTTGGCTGCACTTCTGCCAAGTGTTCAGCCTGAAGTTAAAGCCGATCTTGCTGTGAAGTACCTATAAACACACAGTCACAGCCAATTAAGGCGCTTCAGTATTCGAGGAGGTTCAATTCGGTTACCTCAATAAGGGGCATCTAACTTGTGAATTTTTCAACTTCCGGAGAGGAACAAAGGGACACAGGGGGAGGAGAGGACAGGAGATGAGAACATGAAAAGTTTGCCAAAAGGGAGGCTACCTGTAGCTTCAGAAAATGAGGGTGTTGAGCCAGCAACGTTACCGCTGCCCTTGAGTGCCTCCTTGTGGCCAACTTGGGAATTTCTCTGGGATGCACCTGGTGCCCAGGGAGCAATTGGCTGGGGTTGATGAGGCCATGGAATGAAGGGGAAAATGTGAGTCACCAGGAGTCTACAAAACACAATCTCCTTTTCAAGGCCCTTACTCGGCCTTGCCTTTAAGGAAATCCCCTTATGCCTGGTCATATTTAACTCAGACACGCAGAGGACCGGTCCCCAGACACCCCTGCTCCAGTGCTACAAACAGTTAGACGTGCAGCTATGACCCCGCCAAAACTCAGAGGTACAGCCTTGGTGCTGTCTGAAAGCCCTGTGTCTTTGGGTACCTCTGTGTTGTCATTTTGTTCTGAGTTGAGGATTTTAATATGTCCTCTGAATATATCCTCATCTAGATCAGTGGTTCTCAGCCTGTGGGTCATGACCATCAGAAAACACACATTTCCCATGGTCTTAGGAAATGAGACACCGCTAAGTAGCACACTCACAGTTATGAAGTAACAACGAAAATAATTTTATGGTTGAGGTCACCACAACATGAGGAGCTGTATTAAAGGGTCGCAGCATCAGGAAGGCTGAGAATCACTGCTCTAGATGTATCCATTCACCTTGACCTTTATTGATAATTGTGATCATTTGCTCACCATAGACTTCTCCTCTCCCACTTAATCAAGAACTTGAGGCCAGGAATGATGATAGAGCTGGCAGGCCTCCTCTGCTGTGCCATTATCACCTGCAGCCCCTAGCTGGCGCTAGAGCTCACTCTTGCTGTTATACATATTATGGGGTTGGACGTGCAAGGATGAACCACCATGTGCAATGTAAAATATTTTCTTTTGCATTCTGCCCATTTACCCTCCGTTCCGTTCCCCGCTAACTTCCGACCACAAGTGAGCATTCCTTTTACCACTGGAGTATTTGTGCCTTTTCGAGAACATCTTACAGTTAGAGTGAGAATGTTTGGTGTTGTGAAATAGTAATCGAAGATGTGTTACATTCATTTATGATGTGGAATATCTGTGTAATGATGCAAAGATGTGTTGCTTTCTTTTATGTTGCATTTGTTTAACTCTGTGAAGCTGTGTTACTTTGCCTGTCTGAAACACCGGATTGGTCTAATAAAGAGCTGAACAGCC